TCCGTCGATTGGCTTGCCGTCGCGCAGGCCAGATTTGATGCCGGCAGTCTGCGCGTACGGATCCGCAGCGGGACATGGCCACCAACTGTATACACATTTATTTGTGAACATTATTCATAATAATTAATACGTCGTGGTATTGCAGCGGTTGAGCCGACTAATTCGAGCAACTGATGTTGTTGCTGGGGTCCCCCACTGTTAAAGTATATGGTACAAGGAAATTAGTATAAATATATATACGATTCCACTTACTCCGGCATAATTTCAAGACAATTCTTTGCCGAAATTAAATGTATAAAAATAAAAATTTATTTAAAACCAAAATTTAAAATTCACACGAATCAAATTTCTAAAAATGACATTGACAAGTTAATAATGATAAAATTATTCTCATACAGCTGTTTTAAAGAAAAAACTAGAAAAGGTTTTATTCTATCTGTCGCCCGCGACTCCGTCCGCGTAGATATACAAAAAAATGTAATTTGTGTAGCCTATGTGTTCTTTCAGACTATGTTCTATACGTATGCCAAATTTAATCGAGATCCGTTCAGCCGTTCTAGAGATATCTTAAAACACCCATCCATCCATCCACATCACATCCATCTAAACATTCGCATTTATAATATTACTAAGTTAAATAACAAGCAGCTCAAGGCATAAATTCGAAAAAAAAATGAATAAATAGTATCCTATGTCCGTCTCCATGATCTAAGGTATCTCCTCACCAATTTTAAGCCATATCGGCAAAGCCGTTCTTGAGTTATAAATAGTGTAATTAACACGATTTTCTATTATATATAGATAATAAATTAAGTAAAACTGAAACAAAAGCTTACCAACATTAGTATTTATTATAATAAATAGCTACCGAACCGCGAAAATCACTATCGAGGCTAGACAAAGTGCTTCGAAGAGAGTCCATAACGAATTACAAAAATCTATGGAAAACGCGCGACAATCACGTGACTAATCGAAAATTATTGTCGCTCCTATAATTTGAAGTTTCTCATGGAATCGCTTCGTAGTGAATGCACTGTCTAGTTCCGCAGCACAGAATAAAAAAAAAAGAAAAATGAAGCCTACAATATGCCCACGTGCATAACCTTCCCGTCAGTCTCGTCTAAATCTGTCCAGACATTCAGATTACTCGGAAGCTCAAAACAAACGCAGCCTTGTGGACAGACATACAAACTCTTGATTTATTTAACGATAAATAAAATTCCATTTCCCTTTTTATTGTTATTATTTTCAAACTATTTTTATAATTACATTTAAGGTTTAAGATTATAATTCATATTTTTATTGCTCATTTCGCTTTTGTTCACATCCATCGCAGACAGGGATTATTACACGTATTGTAGGAATTACACCAATATGCCTGAAAAAACATTTATTACAATCAATTTTCTTGTAAACAAAGATCCATTTTATTAATATTACAATCTTACTTTTACTACTTTACTAATATTACTAATAAACAGTTGGATTAAGGGCTTGCTACAAAAGGCAGTTATCCTAGAAACCGCACGCATCGTGAGAAGGTTCCTGTCTCTGCACTGACCACTGGTTGTTTGAGTCATGGGACTCCGCAGCCGGTGGTGCTCTATTTTTAATATAATATAATATATTTTTTATTTTATATATGATATGTAATATATTAAGAATAAGATTAATAAATGAATAAAGAAAAATAAACTTACTAATATTATAAATGTTCAGATGGATGGATGGATGGATGGATGGATGTTTGTTAAAAGGTATCTCCAGAGTAGCTGCATCTACCTCATTGAAATTTGGCATACATATAGGACATAGTCTAACATTAGCCTACTAGTCTTTTTAATTCCGCGCGGACGGAGTTGGGGGCGACAGCAGTTATAATAGATTTTTAATTTATTGTTAACTAAATATACCAAAAGAATTCGTTTTTACGAGTATGTTTCAAATATAATTAAGCGTAAAGTATACCAATAAATCTCATACGAATTTTGGTATATTTTGTGACTAAGAAAATGTTCTTACGAACCTTACATGCTTACATACTCAATTATGTAAACATATTTGATTGAGTAAATACCAAACAAAATATTGAATTAAAAATTATACACAAGCCGTATCTTACAAGGTACGTGTCCATTGTCCGCGCAGATGCTCTGCACGCACGGCCTGCAACGCATTTTAGTTTGCTTTGTATGTTATGACATAGCGCTGCATCTATCAGATACGCTCGCAACGAAAGACAAAGCAAATCCGTTTAATTCTTGCCTGCGGTTTGTCCGATGCGGGACAATGGACGCGTACCTTTACTAGGATATGACGTGTAAATCCTTGAGCCATAGCTAGTATGACGTACTTGGCAGCAGAGTGGGTAGGGATACTGCGAAGGAGGGTTGCCGTCGCGCGGACCGGACTTGATGCCGGCCGCGTGATATTTCACGCACCTGCATATAAACAGTTAGTACGAAGTTAGGTTATCATTGAGTAACATAGACAGTGTTTATTAATAAGTCTGTGGTAGATAAGTTAGCTATTAAATATATTCAATTCAACTCACAGTGGCATAGTTTCGTAACATGCTTTTGACGACATTTTAAATGAATAAAAATAAAAATTAATCTAAAACCAAAAAGTAATGCAAACAGTAATTTTTTTAAAAAATCATTTCTATCTCAATTTCATTTGTAAATGAAATGACACTGTCAAGGTAATCTTTTGTTTATAACAAAATTATTTTTCACATCAAGTTGAATTTAAAAGAAACTAGGAAAGGTTTTAATGTAATATGAAATAAAGAATTATTCTGAAGGTTATAAAACATCTCAATTTAAGCTACTTATATCAGCTATAAGCAAAGAAACGTATTTTAGCGTTTTATAATTTGCATCAAGTTTCACAATTCACCTGTTAACGTAAGCACCTAACCTATCAAGTGGCAGGTCGCCGTTGCTCGCTCGTGCCCTTTACCATAAAAATTAAAAATCATGACATTTTAGTCTTATTAAATTTCTTTTCATTTGTATAAAATTATAACGATATTTAAAAAGAGAGTCATGAAACAAGAATCAAGTATAATAATTAGTAGATGTCACCCGCGACTTCGTTAGCGCAGAATTTAACAAAGAATATGCCTGCTTCAATCAGCGACCATCCCGTCCAAGTCCCGACACAACGGTCCAACCGTTCCGGAGATTATCCGGAACATACGCGGCTTTACGGACGCTTCTCGCTAATATAAACAAAAGCCTATCATATTAATGTTCATTATAATAATTATCAATATGTCAAAGATTAAATAAGAAATATAAAGATAAATAATCGTCATAGAGACAAAAGTTCGCTCTGACAAGTAAAACATAACTCACGCGTGTAACCTATAGGTAGAGTAGAGAAAGATATAATATAGAGACAGGACAGATAGGATAAAGAGTAGAGAGTGAAACCTATAGGTAGAGATTATGGTCGTTGTAGTTATATACACGTTGTTATTTAAACGTAGGCTTTCATTGACAAAATAATCATAGGTACAAGGCATATTGTCTTAAGTAAAAACATGTTTTTTGTATGCATTTTTTCTATTAGTCATCATTACATTGAATTATTTCGTAAAATTAACTAACATTAAACAAATCACGTTTTTATTTTAATTAATGATAACCTTATTAAGTTATGTTATCATTACAAATGTCTACCAAACGAAGTGACTACGTGACGCAATAAAAGGTCAGTTTAATTGGATTTCTTCGAAATTATTGCGAACAGTACTTAATTATATCTTATATATAAAATTCTCGTGTCACAATTTTCGTTCTCATACTCCTCCGAAACGGCTTGACCGATTCTCATGAAATTTTGTGAGCATATTGAGTAGGTCGCAGAATCGGCCAACATCTATTTTATAATCCCGCGCGTACGAAGTCGCGGGTGACAGCTAGTTTGATATAAATGGCCTTCACAAATAGACACCTCTCTCTATAGTCATGGCCAATTTGACCATACTATGTATGTTAATATTACTAACGTATAACAAGTTATAGCCTAATAGATATCTAATGATATTTGTTATAAAACGATATTTTGTTGTTTATAAAATAACATTTTTATATCATAAAATAAATAAAGAATTGATTTGTTTAGCTGACGTTACTGTAGTATGACAGTGAACCTAATAAACGCAGCTAGAATTTATCATTTATGCAATTTTCACACATGGGTAGAATAATAGAGCAGTAACAGTGCAGTACTACTAATATAATAACACACAGTCACGCGCTGAAGCTGTAGACGAAGTAATATTCGATTAACGATACCGCGGAGTTATTAGAAAGTGCATTCGTTCTGAAGCGATTTCATAACGAATTATAAAACTGTATGGAACTGAGCCGCGACAATCACGTGACTTATCGAAAGTTATTGTCAGTTCTAAACATTTTTGAAGTTTGTTATGGAATCGCTTCGAATCGAATGCACTTTGTTTAGCTCCTCTGGTGGTAGAAGAATCGTCAAAGTTTGGTAAAACAGACTTGATAGAATGTTATCGTGGGCTACATACATATTTGTCCTTTTAATCAAATGTTATTCTCTCCGGGATTTGTAGACAAACAATAGCGGTACCGCGCTGTCGTACTGTTCTACCTCGCAGTCCCGTCCTAGTGTGAAACTAGCTTTGGTATGCGTTCTAGATGATGTAATCTCGCAGTGTTCAATAGAACATCGGTTGTTGTGCTTGTTTTTGTTAAATTAAAATTATTAATTTACAGACACTGTTTTTTTATTCGTCAATACAAGTTTAAATATATATTTTAAAACTTCTTGTATCATTGTTTATAGTGATTTTTTTTAAATAAAATTAACTGCAATTACAAATATTGTTTCTTTGTTTATAAAAGTTGTGAATTATTTTTTATTAGTATTCTAGTGTGGTTAGAAATTATTGTTTTTTTTAATTGTTGTTTTTTGTGACGATTTTATTAGTGATATAAAATAAGGTATGTAATAGCTATTTATATAATAATTATTGGCAATTTAAAGTTCGAGATATTCCGTAAATGTTTATATTTGTAACTTACAGTGTTTTAATGCGCTAAGGGACTGAACAAGGAAAGAGAATTCTTTAACAATATATTCTTTATTTTATTCTATTTTATATTGTGCGTGTACGAAGACTTATGTTATAATTTGCGACTTACGCAGTAGCAATTTGGTAATGACCTTGACAATAAATGACACATTGTCGAGGTTACAATGTTAAAATATCTGCCAAAGGTTAAACGAATTGTTAAGGGGCCCAAGATGGAAACAAATATTTCTTAGTATTATATAAATAGAAATACATTAAAAGGAATAGCCTAATGGTTAATTACACAGACTTCCAATAAAGCGATCGTGGGTTGAAAAATAAATCGGAATAAAAAAGAGAAGAGATAGAGTGTGAAAGAGATAGATATATAGGAAATAGCTATTTAGACAAATAAGTTTTATCGTTTTATTCAACTCATGTTTAAATGTAACTGATACCAAAAGCTTATTGGTTTCGTTTAATCTTATCAACATGATACGCTTGTATGATTAATTTAATAAATAAATACAAAAGAAGCGACTTTGAAGTGAATATTAAAATCAAATAATCATCATCATCACCTCACTTAAGTTTTTACTGAGGGGTTCGGAGCCTACCCTAAGTTTTGGGGTATCTATTTGGTTACCCGGTACCACTTCCCACCCTTCCATATAAAGAAAGGATGGGAAGTGGAAGTGGACTTTCCGTATGAGATGCATGGAAAGGGAAAATATTTTCTTTCTGTGCATCCTCACCTCCGTCGATTAAAGGTAGGCAAGGCATATGCAATTGCGTATGTCTATGAGCAACAGTCACTTCGCTATTTCAGCGATTTCAGTGGGACGCTCGCTCGTTTGCCACCTTATGATATAAAAAAAACTAATCACATTCGGCGTATAGCGTATGCGATTTTTATCGCCAATATCAAACTGCGTCCGTGTAACCAAATACAACTGTTTGAATCTGTCAGTGTATGGTAGCACTAAGAGAGTGCCTAAGTAGAATATAAGTGGAATTAATCATTATAAATGTTTTCAGGAGTTGGAGTAAAGATGAAGGAGTGTGATTGTGATTTCATTTTACCAACAAAAGAAGGTTGGGAACAACATTACGATAATTGTATTAGCAAATGGAATTCAACAGCGCAATATCCAAAGTAAGTCACTATATGTACCATAAATAACCATATTAACACGTTAGCTGCTGGCGTTCGTTTTTCGAAAAATCATTCCAGAAAAAATTGACTGAAAAACTGTTTATAAGTTTTATGGGGCCTTGCGGATCACACTGTATACAACAATTCGATTAAAAAGCGTCCGACAAGCCATAGCGAGGTGTTAAATTGAAGTATGGCTTGTCGGATACATAGTCCGACAAAGCCTGATTGAAATATTAGCTTGTCGGACATATAGTCCGACATGGCAGCGAACGTGTTATTATAATAAATTTTTATCAATTCAAACTTTTGCATAAAAATACATTATGAAGAAAACAAATATTTAAAATGAAAACTTCGTAGCTTTCTATACAAAGTACTTGACTTTGATCACATTATTTATTGGTTTTCTAAGTTTTTTATTATTTTATAACATCTTATATATATTAACTATGTTTGTATATTAAATCAATTTACTTAAGGTTCTTAAACGTATAAAATAATGCGACTTAATTTATACGCCAAATAAGGTTAACACTAAGCTCCAAAATATGGAATTACTTAACAAATAATACGATTCACCTACATATGTTCAAAGTGCATGCAAGGTTGATTTCTCTACGTTAACTTGAACTATCAGACTATAGAGTCGAGATCGTCAAATATTTGTTCAATCAGTTTCAGCAAATGTTTGCCAAAGTAATAAGATTGGCCAATTCACTGACAAGCGACAGCTAAAGTCAATCAAGTAAAGTGTATATTGTGACAAAAAAGGTAAAAGCAATTCAGTGCTTTTATCGGAAACCAGCGATCGCCCGCGACTCCGTTTGCGCGGAATTAAAAAAAACTTAATTAGTAGTCTGTATTCTTCCAGATCCTATGTTCTATATGTATGGCAAATTTCGTCGAGATCCGTTCAGCCGTTCTGGAGATACCTTCAAATAAACATCTATCCATTCAAACATTCGCTTTTATAATACGGGTTTTAAAAAAGTAAGATAAGAAATCAAACAAAACATTCCAAATAAGATTTAAAATACATTTGTAAAAGGAATGCGCATACGCAAACCATCAAAAAAGAGATGATTTTGAAAAAATATTTATTTTTAATCAAAATTAAAAAAAAAAGTTTATTGTGGAATTTGGTACTGTATTACTTCTGTACAGTATATTTTTGTGGTTATGTAACTGTATTTTTTTTTTAGAAATGAAGACGGATCGATTCGTCTCACAAATGAAAATCTGTCGAAACTGCATCAGGACTTTATCTATCATCTCGGACTTGATACAGCCAGTTACGACTTAAAGGCTATGTTTGGAGATGTCAAAGTACGTATAATATAATTTGATTTTAATTTCTAGTAGTCCTTCATTGTTCCATAGTTCATAGTAAAAGATTTTTTTTAATAGCTCAGCACGCCTTTCCTCAATCAAAGAAGGTAGTTTTATATTTTTTTATGTGTAACTTTTTTAATTGCAGTTTGTATGCATGGGTGGTACCAAATATCGTATGAAGGAATTCGCTAAACATATGGCTAAAGTGTTAAATATAAAAGATTTCGAAGCAAAAAATCTGAGCAAACACTCGCATAGATATGCAATGTATAAAGTTGGCCCGATCATTTCAGTTAACGTAAGTATACTTTGTTTTTATTCATAAAACAAAGAACCATAAACAAACTGCTATTTTTCTAATACTTAAAATTAAGTAAAACACTCCGTCTAAGATACCCATTTTTTTCACTAAATAATTTAAAAAGTGAATTTTTCATTATGCCCACCACACATCGAATTTGACTTTCCTTTGTTTATAGACCGACAAGGATATTTGACCCTGGTGGGCATAAGTGAAGTTAAATTATGACAGCTCACTAACGCCCTCCTGTCAAGTTAAAAAATCTTGTTGCAAGGTCATTTTCGTACTGGAGCAGTCATGTGATGTTTTTATGCAATTACCAATCCCCATGTAGGTACCGCATATTTTCCGAGAGGCACAGAAATCTTCAATTTTTGATATAGGTAATAAGATAGATAAAAGCGTCAAGTAAAACTATCAAATAATTTGACAAACACGTAATATGGGTTGCCTGGAAGAGATCGCTTGTAGCGATAAGGCCGCCCTTACTTTGTAAATTAGTTAATTGTCTTTTTTTTATGTATTATGATAGCATTAAAAGTTAATAAATAAATAAATAATATTTGTCATAATGTTTGATCGCTTATTGAGCGATTTGAATATTTTAATTTGAAGTTTAATTTAACAAAACATGTTGGTTCCAGCATGGTATTGGTATATCTTCAATGACTATACTCCTACAAGAAATATTAAAAGTACTGTACTACGCAAAAGCGAAGAATCCTATAATCTTCAGAATAGGAACGAGTGGAGGTCTGAAAATACCACCTGGTTCCATCGTCATATCGTCTTGGGGTCTAAATGGTATTTTAGAGAAGACATATGACCTTGTAAGTTATAGTATTTAAAAAGATATAAGTATACATACAATTTTCTGCATTGTAGATCTGTCTTCAACTGTTTTTCTTACAAAATCTGATGATCCTCATGTTATTCTGAAACCAGAAGAAAATAATATTTGTTTTCTTTTACACTAGCTATCGCTTTCGATTACGTCCGAGGAATTTAATAAAAACTTGATTAGTAGGCTATGTGTTCTTTCAGACTATGTTCTATATGTACGAGTATATCTAATTTTCTTTACCCGATCCATTCAGCCGTGCTAGATATACCTTCAAAGAAACATCCATCCATCTAAACATTCGCATTTAATAATATTAAGATTAGAAAACATAGTAACAATCTAAATTTAATTATATTCATAAAAACGAGAAATGTTAAACATTATTCTTTTTATAAAAATAACTGACGCCGAAACTGATCTTTACTGTATGGAAATTTCCAGCCAGTTTTAGGTGAAATTCGCAAGTTACCTTCCGTATTCGATAAACGGTTGATACAAGAACTCGAGTCTATGGTGACTGAAGGAGATGGATTCAACACGTACAGTGGAGGAACAATGGCTGCCGATGATTTCTATAGAGGTAACATATATGAGATTCCAGAATAAAAACAGATTCAAAAACATATTATCTTTGATTTTTTCAGAGAGAATGACAGACAAATTAGTCATTGGCTCCAGCCACAGTTATTCTTAACTTAGGGTACGCTCGAACGTCCTCAATGGGGACGTGTGCTGCTGATTAGACATATGTTACGACAGTGTAAATCCACGGTTATGTTTTCATATACAAAACTATACGAAAACATAACCGTGTATGACACAAGTCTAATATTTTAATAAAATGTTTCGTAGTTTATTTATATGTTATACAAAGTTGACTGACTCAAGTTAAAAAATCATTTCGTAAGTAATATTAACAAGACAAACTCTTCGATAGGATGGTTGGCAACGGGCGGCAAAAATTAAGATTAACTCTTCGATAGTATAATTTTGTATGTAACAGGACAAGCGCGGTTAGACGGACCGTTCTGTGACTACAAAGAGGAAGACAAGTTGGCATTCCTCCACAGGCTGTCAGCGCTGGGCGTGAAAAATATCGAGATGGAGGCTACTGCCTTCGCTGCGATGACTAGAGAAGCAGGAGTTCGCGCTGCGGATGTCTGTGTTACTATACTGGACAGGTTGAATGGTGATCAGGTAAAATTATGCAATTTGTAAAAGGTAAATAGTTACTTTAAAAATACAGTGCTTAATATCTTTAAGTTTTTGATGACCTATAATTTTTTATTAGTAATTAGCTGTCGCCCGCGACTCCGTCCTAGCGGTATAAAAAAGAAATATAATTATTATGTTTTTATTTTTTATTATGCCTATGTGTTCTTTCCGACTATGTTCTATATGTATGAAAAATTTTGTCGAGATCCATACAACTGTTCTGGACATACTTTCAAAGAAGCATCCATCCATCTATCTAAACATTCGCATTTATAATACTGGTAAGATATTCGTTGACACGACTCGTAACTCGATAGCAGTGTTCTACATTTATCTCTTTTAAGAACACTAATAAATCAACAGCAGATGTTTCGAAGTAATAAATTTTCTGAGCACAGGCGCAGTTCAGTCGTTACTTTGTTAGGGATGCGATATGCTATAGAACTTACAACTTACTGAAAGGGTAGTTAAGAAATGCTTACTTAAAGGATAAGTATTTTTACATATTATTATAGTTAGAAAGAAAATCCGACACGGTGTCCGTGTACTGGCACAACACTAGTCTTACTAAAATGTCGACGTTTATGTCCCATCACATCTGACAGTGAACTTTGTAACGAAAGCACGTCATTCGCGCCAAATGATAATGTCTAAAATTAGTTAGAATCCATTGGCGCGAATGGCGCGCTTTCATTACAAAGTCAAGTGTCAGAATGATTATTGAGGGGACATAAACGTCGACATTTTAGTAAGGCTAGTGTTGTGCCAGTACACCGGCACAATGTCGGATTTTCTTCCTAACAGTATATAAGGATAATATTTTATTAAAGAATATATTTACTAAGATGTATTAGAATCGTGGTCAGTGTCTCATAAAAATATTTTAACCACACCAATGTGATAAGTGATGTTCATTTTACATTATTTTTAAGTTAGTTACATCTAAGACATATTTTTATTTTCAGGTAACACCAGACAAGGAGTTACTGTTAAAATTTCAAGAACGTCCTATGATTCTAGTCGGAAGATACATCGCCAAGTATTACGAGAACAATATTCAATGAATAAATATTTGAAACAATTTATAAAAATCGAAAAATAAAACATTTTTTGTCTAATTTTTTTTATTATTTAACGATACGTTCAATTTTATTCTAGGAAAAGCGCCTTATTTCTATCTTCAAATAATTCAATTTAATAAATGAATTATGATAATTTACCTTATATCATAAAATAAATATTAAAGATGAGTAACAAAATAAAATCTAAAAAACATAATGAAATTTTTTCTTTTTGATTTGCATTTCATTTATCAGGGTTCCGTACATCGAAAGAAAAAAACGAATTATTTTTTTTTAGTAATCAGTATTTTAGTGAATTACTAATAAGAATTTAATAAGTAAGTATTTGTAATTAGTAATAATTATTTTAGTATATTACTGTTGCTAATATTATAAATACGCATGTTTAAGTGGATGGATAGATGGATGTTTGTTTGAAGATATCTCAATAACGGCTGCATGGATCTCGCTGAAATTTGATATCGATGTAGAACACAGTCTGAAACAACACATAGGCTACTAATTGAGTTTTTCTTATACCCCGCGGACGGATTCCCGGGCGACAGCTAGTATGTTCATATATTTTGAAAGTAAAGTTTTAAAACAACGTGCAAAACCACAAAGTATATGACTCATGCCTAAAAAAAGTGTGTACAAACTTGAAAAATCTTTTGCGTATATTTTCAAATTGTTCACGTTTTATTAAACAAAATTAATTTTTAATTTTGCATTTGTCCGTTCGACTTCACATTACCCAGACTCCAGGGGTTGAATGCGCAAAACATTTCCCTCCAAATACATGCTACGTCAGTTCGTAGCGGCGCGTCGTAGAGGGCGAACGTCTACGCCGCTACGGAAGTAACCTATTGTTATGAAATAGTCATTTTTCTTTATTAAAACTCGTTTAGTTTTATCTAAAAAATGTGGTTATATTTAATTATAATAAAATTGTGTTATTTCGTATAAAAATAACAGAGTAATATACTATTTTTGTGGAGTATAGTGCATGTTTCTGCTAATCGCGTGAGATTAGCCGTTTTTATGGTGAGATTTTTTTTGAGTTTTACTGTAATTTATTAGTGTACGGTGGTGTGTTTAAATGTGTTCAGAATATGTTTCTGTAACGAGCAATGATTGGTAAGTTTAATATGTAGGTAAAATTTTATGTGGTACATTTTTAACCTCTTAATCTCATGAGATGAAATGTGGGTTATAGTACCCTTATTTCTATTCATTACTATTATCTGTAAAATAATCTGTAGATATATAATATAAAATGAATTCGTTGTATTTTAATTATACGATTATAAGGTGAATTAATTAGATGTCATTTTTATATTTTAATGCATTTCTACTGAACAAATTTTTATAACTTACTAACTGTCGCCCGCGACTCTGTCTGCGTGGATATATAAAAAAGCTTAATATTAGTAAGTTAAATAAATAGCAGCTCTTCAAGGCATAAATAAAAAAAATGAATGAATAGTATCCTATGTCCGTCTCCATGCTAGCTACCTCCTCACTAATTTTCAACCATATCGATAAAGCTGTTTTTGAGTTATAAATAGTGTAACACGACTTTCTTTTATATATATAGATTTGACAATATTTTTTTTCACAAGTAACGTTGCAAATTAAGTATCTTTCAATTAACATTGGTCTTAAAAACATTTTGATGTAGAAACAAATCTTTTAAACCTAAACCCATTCATTTCTAACTGTAATAATTAATTGTAATTTATTGACTCTTTAAGCAAAAATTACTATGGCAATATACATCCAGAAAAATGGAATAATATTAATATTTGGAGCGTGCTGGTAGTTTACAAGCTCGCTTTGAATTTTAATGTATATTTAATTTACAACGAATTTTGCCGTATTTCGAGGCTCCTACGAATATAATCGTAACTCAAAAAATGCGATTTTTTACGAGCGCAATGATAGTCTACGTTGAAGGCTAATAAGAAAAATTATCATAAGTTCTAATGGTTACATTCAAAATCTCATGATTTTGATTTCTGTATTACAAAAATGTTATTTCAGCAAAATACGAAAAGTACATAAATTAATTTTATTTAAAAATGAGTTATGGCCTCTTGCATAGGACCCAGCAATTTATTGTTCCGCGTGGGGCACGAAAATTATGATTATTCTAAATCAAAAGTTTCAAGTATTCGCTATCACGCAATTTCCTACATTATAAACACGCTAAAACTTCCTTAAATATACCTACATATTTAATTGGGCGTTTAATCTATCCTTAAAATCAGGTCATACGATAAAGGCACAACAATCACTCTTTGTTTTTAAAATTGTTCATTTGTTTTTTTAAGTACTATACTAAGCAAAGTTTTATCTTGCACAACTAACGGCTAAACTCTATCTTTCAATCTATCTTTCAATTATTTTAATTACTCAAGAATATAAAATGCATCTATCACCTTCTAAATGATCATCATCAGTCAGTTCATCAGTTTTAAATAAATAAAAAAAATCAAATGACCAAAATAAGCAATGGTCCTAGAGTCGAACAATTAAGTAATGTAGAAATCATATTAAATCTTGCTTTAATTCTATAATTAATAACTATTTCAATTGATCATCTTCTAAATAAATATAAATTACGACAGTCATTCTAAGTGCCAGTCCTAAAATAAATGGTGTTCCAAATTTACAATCGGCTTAAACTCACCACTGACGGCAAAAGATTTGTTACAGCTATGTTACTGGTTCCGTTACTGTAAGATTTAATTTATAAAGGTTAGGCATTAACGTATATATTTCTATTAAATTTGGGTGTTTTCCGTTGGATCGGTTTACCGATCAATCGGCCTATTATAATTTTATTTCTCATTAGCTCAATTAAATCTATAGATTCTATGCACTCAATCGGCCCAATGGTAAATGTATTTATGGTTGTTGAATTAAGCCAAAAAATAACACCCTATATTTGACGATATTTTATTGATGAATACTTTAATAATATAATTTTGATATGAGTTGCTTTAAGTCAAATATTATAGTGGGTTGAATCGTCTTCTGTCATATTGCCTAAAAAAAGGAATGCCTGTAATGAGGTGTGATAATCATAAAAATATCTTATTTTCTTTTCTAAATAATTGAAGTGTAAGTTAAAAATATTTTAAATCTGATATTCACTTAAAGCCACAAACATTTAATACAATAAAGAATAAAATACTTGTTTTAAAAGTAAAGTTCTAAAGAAGTTGTATAATACTATTAACAACAATCCCTTTTATGAATTCAATATTTATTTCTGCGGTATTCCAACATCAAAGTACCAACAGATCCTTTACTTTGATCGTTATGTTGTGGGTTTGCGTTTGATTTAGCAATGAATGTCGACTAACTGCGTATTATGTTTTAAAAATTAATATTCATTGACTCTATCGAAGTTTGGGAAGTTTGTGGTAATTTATTGTTGAATCGGTTGTTACCATGGTATTTTATATTTAAACTAGCTATCGCCCGCGACTCCGTACTCGTGGATATATAAAAAAACTTAATATATAGATAAGTTAAATAAAAAGCAGTTCTTCAAGGCATAAATTCGAAAAAAAAAGTTGAATAAATAGTATCCTATGTCCGTCTCCTGGCTCTAAGCTACCTCCTCACTAATTTTCAGCCATATCGGTAAAGCCGTTCTTGAGTTATAAATAGTGTAACTAACACTACTTTCTTTTATATATGTAGATGTTTGTGGTAATTTAAATTGTCTGTTGTATTATAGTTTCTAACTCTTATTGTATTGATTTTTTGTGCTATTTCGTATATATTTAGATTATAAGTGTCATAAATAATGATGGTCACTGATATAAAGTAACTCTTTCTGGATAAAACGAGGAAAAAGAACAAAATTAAAAAAAAACATACCAAAATAGACATTCCAAGGACCTAGGACAAGGATTCAGGGTCGATTAGTAATGATTTCAAACATATGAAATCGAACCAAGAGTACAGCGGTAAATGGACGGCGATATTTGTCTCGCTTATAGAGTTTTCTCTTTAACCTGAGTTTCTCGCTTATAGAAGTGGACCACTAGAGGTGGTCGGGACTGAACTATGACTCTGGCTTATAGAGGTTTCACAATTATCCAGTTCTTGCTTGTCTTAATTCGAATATATAATAACTAGTTTTTACAGGTACATAACTAAGTTTTTCATTTATATGTCAACGCTAGTTAGATTGTAAAAATACACAAAAGGGCAGACAAAAAAACCGGCTTCAATTAATGCTACAAACGGCATTACATAATCCGGTTTGTCCGGATCCGTTTCCTGTCGGATAAGCCTCAGTTATCCTGCTTGGTAAGCATTACTTATCCTGTTAATCGATGGAAATGAATAAACCTTTAAAACGAGACACCAAAAGTTATAATAGCAAAAAGTTAGAGCTTAGAATGGTATAAAAATATTAGTAAACTAACTTTCGACCGCGACTCCGCCTGCGCGGAATTAAAAAGAACCTTAATTAGTAGCCTATATGTTCTTCCAGATTATGTTCTACATCTATGCCAAATATCAGCAAGATCCATGAAGCCATTCTACAGATACCTTAAATACATCTATACATTCGTATTTATAATATTAGTATGACAATAAGATTAACAGAAATCTGATAATATTTAAGAAAAAAAAAGAAAATTTAATAAACACAGTACGAGTATATTCGATTTTTTTATGTGTAATGTAGCAAATATGCGACCTATATTCGCTAAAATAGCGAAGTGATAGCTGCCCATTGTAATTAAGTAAAATTCGCTACATATCTTTAGGGTATAAATTCAAATATTTTTTATCGCATCCAAATTAACGTGATACAATGGACCTCAAGTGATGCATTGGTATTCAAAAAGTACATTTCTAAAAGACTTAAGACATAATGAGAGTTACGATTAACATTCATGTCGTTTTACTAAGGACACACATCGTGTCAAGTAAAATTGAATTTTATTACAAAAGAGTTAAAGTTGAAATTCTAAAGTTTAATAAAAATGTAACAATGTCGGGAACAATGCTGGAAAGTGTAATAAAGAGGGTCGTGGGAATAGCAGGGGAGTTGAATTAGGTATGTAGTTAAAGGGCTATACTTAAATATATACTCAACCTGACTGGGGTTGTGGTTACTTAGAAATAAACAGAATTCACTTATTTAAACAAAAAATTAACAATTTATTTTTAGCTATACCGTTGAAGTTTACATCGGTGGTACTTTTATATTAATCTAAAGAAATACTAGCTGTCGCCCGCGACTGCATTCACGCGACAGTATGCACAATCATTTCTTAAAAACCGATCAAGCCATTTCGGAAGAGTATGTTAACTAACATTGTGACACGAGCATTTTATATAAATTGTCATCCCTTACATTCTCTTTTTAAAAAAAGAGACAAGAATAATACAGTCAAGTCTAACAGTTATATTTAATTTTAAAAATCCTGAATTTATCTCTATACACATAGTATATTAGCGTGGTTTGGACATGTTATGCGGAGGGATGATGATGATATAAGCAAAAAAGTAATTAGATTGAATGTGGACGGCTACAAATGTAGAGGAAGACCAAAAAAAAGTATGGAATGACTGTGTGAAAGAGGATATGCGTAGGAAGAGTTAGATTCGGATATGACGGCTGATAGAGATGTATGGAGGAGTAGGACATACTGTGGTCGACACAGTATGTCCTACTCCTCCTCAATAGGGGTAAGGGCAGGTTGATGACACATACTATATTACTGGATTTTCTAATTCCGTGCGGAAATCGCGGACAACTGCTAGTTATATATGAATGAATTTCTATTTCCCTTGATCATCGGATCACCCGTGAACTCATGGAACAGTTTCTCTTATTCAAAGAAATGTTTAAAATTATTAAAAGGAATAGTTGCCAGGATTTTTTTGCCGCAACTAAGTTGAAAGAGAATTTTCATGTCATGTTATTTTATTACATGTCAACGACATTACTTTAACGAAAAAAAAACAGCTCTAACAATGTCATATTGCAAAAAGTATTTATATAAAAACTATATTACGTAAATATCTCGTCAAAATGCTATCCCAGATTTATCTTTTATAGCCTTTTCTTGCCAAAATATTGAGGACAATGACCTTACAAT